AGCTGTCTGTGTGGCTGTCTGTGTGGCTGTCTGTGTAGCTGTCTGTGTAGCTGTCTCTGTAGCTGTCTGTGTAGCTGTATGTGTGGCTGTCTTTATAGCTGTCTGTGTAGCTGTCTGTGTAGCTGTCTGTGTAGCTGTCTGTGTGGCTGTCTCTGTAGCTGTCTGTGTGGCTGTCTGTGTGGCTGTCTGTGTGGCTGTCTGTGTGGCTGTGTCTGTGTGGCTGTCTGTGTGGCTGTCTGTGTGGCTGTCTGTGTGGCTGTCTGTGTGGCTGTCTCTGTAGCTGTCTGTGTGGCTGTCTGTGTGGCTGTCTGTGTGGCTGTCTGTGTGGCTGTCTGTGTAGCTGTCTCTGTAGCTGTCTGTGTGGCTGTCTCTGTAGCTGTCTGTGTGGCTGTCTGTGTGGCTGTCTGTGTAGCTGTCTGTGTGGCTGTCTGTGTAGCTGTCTGTGTGGCTGTCTTTGTAGCTGTCTGTGTAGCTGTCTGTGTGGCTGTCTGTATGGCTGTCTGTGTGGCTGTCTGTGTGGATGTCTTTGTAGCTTCCTGTGTGGTTGTCTGTGTAGCTGTCTCTGTGGCTGTCTCTGTGGCTGTCTGTGTGGCTGTCGGTATGGCTGTCTGTGTAGCTGTCTGTGTAGCTGTCTGTGTGGCTGTCTGTGTGGCTGTCTGTGTGGCTGTCTGTGTGGCTGTCTGTGTGGCTGTCTGTGTGGCTGTCTCTGTAGCTATCTGTGTGGCTGTCTGTGTAGCTGTCTCTGTGGCTGTCTGTGTAGCTGTCTGTGTGGCTGTCTGTGTGGCTGTCTGTGTAGCTGTCTCTGTGGCTGTCTGTGTGGCTGTCTGTGGAGCTGTCTGTGTGGCTGTCTGTGTAGCTGTCTCTGTGGCTGTCTCTGTGGCTGTCTGTGTGGCTGTCTGTGTGGCTGTCTGTGTAGCTGTCTGTGTGGCTGTCTGTGTAGCTGTCTGTGTGGCTGTCTGTGTGGCTGTCTGTGTGGCTATCTGTGTGGCTGTCTCTGTGGCTGTCTGTGTGGCTGTCTGTGTGGCTGTCGATGTGGCTGTCGGTGTGGCTATCTGTGTGGCTGTCTCTGTGGCTGTCTGTGTAGCTGTCTGTGTAGCTCTCTGTGTAGCTGTCTGTGTAGCTGTCTCTGTAGCTGTTTGTGTGGCTGTCTGTGTAGCTGTCTGTGTGGCTGTCTGTGTGGCTGTGTCTGTGTGGCTGTCTGTGTGGCTGTGTCTGTGTGGCTGTCTGTGTGGCTGTCTGTGTGGCTGTGTCTGTGTAGCTGTCTGTGTGGCTGTCTGTGTGGCTGTCTGTGTAGCTGTCTGTGTGGCTGTCTGTGTGGCTGTCTGTGTAGCTGTCTGTGTAGCTGTCTCTGTAGCTGTCTGTGTAGCTGTCTGTGTGGCTGTCTTTATAGCTGTCTGTGTAGCTGTCTGTGTAGCTGTCTGTGTGGCTGTCTCTGTAGCTGTCTGTGTGGCTGTCTGTGTGGCTGTCTGTGTGGCTGTCTGTGTGGCTGTCTGTGTGGCTGTCTGTGTGGCTGTGTCTGTGTGGCTGTCTGTGTGGCTGTCTGTGTGGCTGTCTGTGTGGCTGTCTGTGTAGCTGTCTCTGTAGCTGTCTGTGTGGCTGTCTGTGTGGCTGTCTGTGTGGCTGTCTGTGTGGCTGTCTGTGTAGCTGTCTCTGTAGCTGTCTGTGTGGCTGTCTGTGTGGCTGTCTGTGTAGCTGTCTCTGTGGCTGTCTGTGTGGCTGTCTGTATGGTTGTCTGTGTGGCTGTCTTTGTAGCTTCCTGTGTGGTTGTCTGTGTAACTGTCTCTGTGGCTGTCTCTGTGGCTGTCTGTGTGGCTGTCTGTGTAGCTGTCTGTGTGGCTGTCTGTGTGGATGTCTGTGTAGCTGTCTGTGTAGCTGTCTCTGTAGCTGTCTGTGTAGCTGTCTGTGTAGCTGTCTGTGTGGCTGTCTTTGTAGCTGTCTGTGTAGCTGTCTGTGTAGCTGTCTGTGTGGCTGTCTCTGTAGCTGTCTGTGTGGCTGTCTGTGTGGCTGTCTGTGTAGCTGTCTGTGTGGCTGTCTGTGTAGCTGTCTGTGTAGCTGTCTGTGTGGCTGTCTGTCTGTGTGGCTGTCTGTGTGGCTGTCTGTGTAGCTGTGTGTGGCTGTCTGTGTGGTTGTCTGTGTGGCTGTCTGTGTAGCTGTCTGTGTAGCTGTCTGTGTGGCTGTCTGTGTGGCTGTCTGTGTGGCTGTCTGTGTGGCTGTCTCTGTAGCTGTCTGTGTGGCTGTCTGTGTAGCTGTCTCTGTAGCTGTCTGTGTGGCTGTCTGTGTGGCTGTCTGTGTAGCTGTCTCTGTGGCTGTCTGTGTGGCTGTCTGTGTGGCTGTCTGTGTGGCTGTCTGTGTGGCTGTCTGTGTGGCTTTCTGTGTAGCTGTCTCTGTGGCTGTCTGTGTGGCTGTCTGTGTGGCTGTCTGTGTGGCTGCCTGTGTGGCTGTCTGTGTGGCTGTCTGTGTGGCTGTCTGTGTAGCTGTCTGTGTAGCTGTCTGTGTACCTGTCTGTGTGGCTGTTTGTGTAGCTGTCTGTGTGGCTGTCTGTGTAGCTGTTTGTGTGGCTGTCTGTGTGGCTGTCTGTGTGGCTGTTTGTGTAGCTGTCTGTGTGGCTGTCTGTGTAGCTATCTGTCGCTGTCTCTGTAGCTGTTTGTTTAGCTGTCTCTGTAGCTGGAGTACCAATAGTATTCCCATTCTGTTTCAAACGTTATGCAACCCAAGGTGTGTTTACGCGCTCAAGAACGGTGGAGGGATTTCACCTGATTCAAAGAACGAAGGCTGTTTTCCCTCAAGTATTTCACTTCCAATTATAATAACAACTGTCCATTACGTAATTGCCTCAGCCGAGGGCTATTTTCTCCCCAGGTGTTTACAACAATTGGAGCGGTGGCCACGGCTCACATCAAGTGGTGAGTAGCATCGCAAAACTAGACCATTCGTCTACCTGCTCTGGACCGGTGTGGTGAAGTATGGTCAAATAACCCTCACGACCCGGGTGTGGCTTATGGGGCCGTCCATAAATGACGTCACGCAACTAGGGGGGGGGGGGGTCAGACATTTGTGACGATGTGTGACGAGAGGGGGGGGGGGGGTGTTGAGAAATGTGACGTTACATCAAAATGCGCAACTTTAAATAAATATAGAATTGTTATAACACTAATTGTTATAACAACACTCCTACAACATCAGAGTGCAACGCCACATTAAATACGCACCACAACGGCAATAGTTTAAAGCGATTCGAAGCACGTTTTATTTTCAAAATGAAAGTATGGTTTTGGGGGGGCGGGGGGGGGGCAGAGCTTTGTGACGTCATATTTTAGGGGGGGTCAAAAATCGTCAAAAGTCACGTGACGTCATTTATGGACGGCCACCAGGCCAGTAGCGGATTTATAAAGTGTTGTATTAAGTAAACGTTGATATATTTTCAGATGAGGTTAAGGGGCCTCCTTACTTAACGAAATGTAAACGATGTAACCAGGCACAATGAAGGGGATGTATTTAAAGATATTGAAAGATATTTCTCGAGTCTTTGTTTAAGCGTTCTTTTTCGATTTAAAGCTTTCGTGACTGCAGGGATTCATCTTCTTGGTTCTTTCGGTAAAGTCACGTAGAAGGGAAGTAATAAAATAATAAAAATAAAACATTAAAAAATAAGTCTTCACCTGAGGACGGCTGCTTGCGTTGTGGCCGAAACGTCATGAGAATTATTTTATTATTTCCATTCTACTGACTTTACCGAAAGAACCAAGAAGATTAGCGTTCTTTGTCAATCCACTGCTGTATTTGTGTGTGTGGGGGGGGGGGTCACGGCGTGGTGGACCACCACACTTCACCATCACCGGTGAAGTTGAAGGGGGTGCCGTAGGGGCCCTCGTGATGATTGGAGCCCGTGACGGTCAACTGACCACCACCACCAACAACAACTACCACCACCACCAACAACAACAACCACCAGCACCAACAACAACCACCACCACCACCAACAACAACAACAACCACCACCGCCAACAACAGCCACCACCACCAACAACAATCACCACCACCACCACCAACAACAACAACAACCACCACCGCCAACAACCACCGCCAACAACCACCACCAACAACCACCACCACCACCAACAGCAACCACCAACAACAACAACCACCACCACCGCCAACAACAACAACCACCAACAACAATCACCACCACCACCGCCAACAACAGCCACCACCACCACCAACAACAACCACCGCCAACAACCACCGCCACCACCAACAACCACCACCACCAACAACAACCACCACCACCACCAACAACAACAACCACCACCACCACCAACAACCACCACCAACAACAACAACCACCACCACCAACAACCACCACTACCGCCACCACCAACCACAACAACCACCGCCACCACCACCAACCACCACCACCGCTACCACCAACAACAACCACCACCACCACCAACAACAACCACCACCAACAACCACCACCACCACCGCCACCAAGAACAACCACCACCAACCACAACAACAACCACCACCACCAACCACAACAACAACCACCACCACCACCGCCACCAACCTCAACAACCACCAACAACAACAACCACCACCACCAACCACAACAACAACCACCACCAGCACCACCTCCACCAACAACCACCACCAACAACCACCACCACCAACAACCACCACCACCACCACCAACCACAACAACCGCCACCACCGCCACCACGCCAGCCGCTTGCGTAACGGCCCCCCACGCTAATCCGATAGAACACTTCACGATGATGAGAGAGAGAGTGGCAGTGGCAGCAGCAGCAGCAGGAGGGAACGAAGGGAGGACGATGATGATGAAGATCGTTCGCAGGACCAGTTCAGACGTCAGCTCGCCACTGACGTTAGCCGTGAGCGAGCGAGCGAGAGTGGAGGAGGAGGCTCTGGGGTCAAACCGGGTCAATCATCATCATCAGCAGCAGCAGCACAGCGCTTGATGCCCGATGCAAGTTGCTTACCTCTCCCTCGTTGTTGATGTTGGTGGTGGTGGTGGGGGGCACGCGATATTAATCCGGCTTCAGTGGGTGATGATGATGATGATGGTGGTGGTGGTTGTTGTTGTTGTGTGTGTGTGTGTGGGGGGGGTCACAGCCGAAGGTTTAATTATTAAGACAACGGCGCTAATTGCGATTGACCTTACAACGCAGCAGCAGCAGCAGCGTCTGCGTGCCGGCATTTAACATTGGCCGCTTGCAGGACAGGGGGGCGGGGCGAGTGGGGGGGCGGGGCGAGTGGGAGGGGCGGGGCTAGAGAGGGGTTCGTGGGGATGGGGGGCGGTCACGTGCACGCGGTGGGGGGAGGGGCGGGGCTAGAGAGGGGTTCGTGGGGGGTGAGGGGCGGTCACGTGCACACGGTGGGGGGAGGGGCGGGGCTAGAGAGGGGTTCGTGGGGGGTGAGGGGGCGGTCACGTGCACACGGTGGGGGGAGGGGCGGGGCTAGAGAGGGGTTCGTGGGGGGTGAGGGGGCGGTCACGTGCACACGGTGGGGGGAGGGGCGGGGCTAGAGAGGGGTTCGTGGGGGGTGGGGGGGGCGGTCACGTGCACGCGGTGGGGGGAGGGGCGGGGCTAGAGAGGGGTTTTGTGGGGGGTGGGGGGCGGTCACGTGCACACGGTGGGGGGAGGGAGGGCGGGGCTAGAGAGGGGTTCGTGGGGGGGGGCGGTCACGTGCACGCGGTGGGGGGGAGGGAGGGCGGGGCTAGAGAGGGGTTCGTGGGGGGTGGGGGGGCGGTCACGTGCACGCGGTGGGGGGAGGGGCGGGGCTAGAGAGGGGTTCGTGGGGGGTGGGGGGGCGGTCACGTGCACGCGGTGGGGGGAGGGAGGGGCGGGGCTAGAGAGGGGTTCGTCGGGGTGGGGGTGGCGATCGGGGCAGTCACGTGCACACTGTGGGGGGGCGGGGCTAGAGAGGGGTTCGTGGGGGGTGGAGGTGCGGTCACGTGCACGCGGTGGGGGGAGGGAGGGGCGGGGCTAGAGAGGGGTTCGTGGGGGTGGGGGGCGATCGGGGCGGTCACGTGCACGCGGTGGGGGGGGGGGGAAGATTTGCGCGGTGACGTCATCGCATGACCCGCCCTCGCCCAATAGGAGCGCTGCGATCGGCGGTCACGTGCGCGGATGTGCCTCTCTGGGTGACGTCACCGTGTGTGTGCGCGTGCTAACCACGTGGGGTGGCCCTCAGCACTTCCTGTTTGGGGGAGCGGTGGCGCAGCGGTGAGCGCGCTACGAACCCGGCGACCCGAGTTCGATTTCCCGCTCACGGCCACCACGGGTGACAGATTATCTGAACCGATCCTGTGCCTCCCCTAGGTTGACTCGGCCTCAAATGAGTACCCGGTGTGTAGACATCGCCACTGAGGGAGACAAAGGCGGCCGGGTATGGTGCTGGCCACCCACCCCCTCGCGTGCCGTTCTGGCATTCATAGGTGCTGCTCGCTAACAGCACTTGCCCCTACAGTCTGTTAAGGCTACACGGGGCATCTTTGTCTTTGCCAACCACGTGGGGTTGGCCCTCAGCTCTATGAGCTGTCAAGCAAGTGTCACCGATTGTGCGACTGTGGATGAGTCCAAACCATCAAGCACATCACCAATGAATGCTCCATCCATGCACATTCTGGGGGCATCGCTGAAATCCACACTGCGTCAACCACATCATTGGACTGAATGATTAAGAAAAATAAACTTGCTTTTCACAATGCCATACGAAAAAAGAAAACGTATGCTTCAGTTGATAGTAGAATGTATTGAAATGTATGTTCATTATAGCGTGTTGATTTATCCCCTAGGACGCCCTTGCAGCAAAAACATGGAAACACATTTCGATTTTATATGACTTTGAGACCCTCCCCACCACCTACACATTCCACAAGTAGTGACTAATCCCATATCTGCATTTCCCATAAATATGCTAAATTCATCTGTTGATATGCAAATTCCTTTTGTCAAGGCGCCCTTCCCCCTCTAACCCAGCTTAAATATACGCTGCCAAGCTTGGCGGTGTTCATTCAGACGCGGTCTTTCCGACAGACCTGTTCTTCACCTGAGGACGGCTGCTTGCGTTGTGGCCGAAACGTCGTGAGAATTGTATTTTATTCTTTTATTTTTTATTACTTTATTTTTTTCCTTCTACGTGACTTTACCGAAGGAACCAAGAAGATGAATGAGAAACATTTGCATTAATTTATGATTAAGAAAAAATAAAAACTGTTGCTTTTCACAATGCCATTCGAAAGAAAAAAACATGCTTCAGTTTATAGAATTTAATGCAATGTATGCTCATTATAGCGTGTTGATTTATCAACCCCCCTAGGACGCCCTTGCAGCAAAAACAACAACATCGAAATACATTCGTCAATAATACTGCGGCCTTACCATAAATATAAGTTGACTTTCCGTTGGAACCATTGGACGCAGCAACGTTTTGCCCCTCTTCTTGCTTCTTTCGGTAAAGTCACGTAGAATGGAAATAATAAAATAATAAAACATAATAAAATTATTCTCACGACGTTTCGGCCACAACGCAAGCAGCCGTCCTCAGGCGAAGAACAGGTCTGTCGTGAGAATTATTTTATTATGTTTTATTTGTATTATTTTTTTATTTCCATTCTACGTGACTTTACCGAAAGAACCAAGAAGATGAATCTCTGCAGTCACGAAAGCTTTAAATCGAAGTTTGGCCCATCGTTCCATGTCGACCGGGTTATTGGCTCCAGCTCACCGATGAGGATTGATAAACGACGACGCCGGTTACGGTCGGTTGCAGTGCGCAAACATCTTTGACCTTGTAAGTTTCTATCTTTAATTGTTTAACGTTCATAAACTTCTCCTTTGCTGCCCTGCGTTTTTCACAGGTTCACTAATCGAGTCTGAAACCCAATTATACTGCAGGCATTATAGGAATGGTCGACGGGTCAGATGTACCTACCGTATTCTCCAGACTATATCACGCTCCGGAAAGTAAGACGTACCCGAAACTATTAATGATAGTGCCGATAAAGTTACAACAACAACCACCATTCGCCACTAAGTGGCGGTGACGTCACCACGACGCTTGTGCCAGGCCATGTGCACCTTGAGGTCACGTGAAGTGTCGAACGCCCGCTGGCAGGAGGTCACGGGGCAGACCCAGCAGGTGCCACGGGTCGACTGACCGAGATGACCGAGATGACTGGCTGATGCACCACCTGTGCCCCCTACTGTACCAACTTGCTGTGCTTTAAAGTTACACACATCTCGTCACACACCTATGGTGCTTTCCATGTTATAAGATGCACCCTCAACTCTTGTTTGAAACAAACAGCGAAAAAAGTCTTATAATCTAGACCAGGGGTCGGGAACCTTTTTGACTGGGAGAGCCATAAAAGGCAAATATTTCTAAATATATTTCATTGAGAGCCATATAGTATTTTTAACGTATAATAAATTAAATATGTCTTACTTTTAATGCGACTTCTGGTGCTGCATGGTTTTGCTGATGGCCTTGTAGTCTGGTTCGTACGTGGTGAGGTTGAGCTTCATGCAGGCGTGACCCGTGAAATTTATCTTCAAAACTAATTTCTGTTTACTTTAAAATGACACAGTATTATTAAGCAATATCACAAGTATTTTAAAATCAGTTCCAAACTGATTTTTATTTATTTTTTCAACTCAAAATTGTCTGGGAGCCATATGCCGTCACTGGAAGAGCCATATATGTCTCGCGAGCCATAGGTTCCCGACCGCTGATCTAGACAATCCGATAATTTAAACACATTCCTGCGGAGGGAGCTGGTAGGAACGTTGGGTTCCTCGGTCAATGGCCAGGGTCAACGGCGGCGTGGTGTATTCCGCAAATATGGCCGACTGTGAGGGCGGGCACAAGCCGGCGTGAGTAGGTTAAACGTTGAGTTTTATAAGGGCACCACGGGGTGACCAGCCCCTCCCCACCCAGCCCCACCCCTCCCACCCTCCTCACCCAGCCCCACCCTCCCCACCCAGCCCCACCCAGCCCCACCCTCCCCTCTCCACCCAGCCCCACCCCTCCCATTTTTGGATTCACGACGGACGGACACAATCATCCCCTGTGGGCTGGTGGAACTAGGTGGTTCCTACCAGTATAACTTAAACACGATAGATGTTTTTTTTTTCCCCGTAGCCAGTGCTGTATTATTCGTAATATGATTTTGAATATTAATTGCTCAGTTGGATTGTGAGCTTCGTTCTGAAATGAATATTGGGGGCGTTGAAACGCCTGAGGGCCGTAACAATTTGATTTACCGTGTCGGAAGGTGGAGGGGTTTGACGATACACATTGGGGTCTACATCTGGTAATGCTGTTGCGTTGACAAGTGGCACACACTGCACAATTAATGCATTAAAAAAGCGACACATTCGTAAATGACGGACAATGACCATTTTCCATTTACAGGATATGCTACAACAAAAGTTCCTACTGCCCGGAACGTGGCCAAACGCATCTCTATTTATACTCTTAGGTTTTTCGGTAAAGTCACGTGGGTAAAATAATAATAATAATAATAAATAATAATAATAGAAATTAAATAATAAATCACGTTTCGGAGTCATTTACTTGAGACAGTTAATCTAGCTGTGACGGTCCCACCTGATGACGGAGACTTGTGTTGCCTCCGAAACGTCGTGATTTATTATTTTATTTCTATTATTATTTCTATTATTTTTTACCTACGTGATTTTACCGAACAACCTAAGAGTATGAATCCTTGCAGTCACGAAAGCTTCAAATCTAGCATCTCTATTTATTTTAAGGCCACTGTGTTGTGGACAAAATGCATTGGGAACAGGGGAGGATTACGTGGCCCAGCCCAAACATCAATAATGATCAATCACTGTAATTGCTGCTTGTGTTTTTTATAGCCATGGGCACGTGTAACACACAAGGTGACAGTGTGAACTATCCTGGGTGATGGTAAAATTAAATCGAGGAGCTCCATGGACAACAACGTCTGGCTGAGTTGTTGACATTGCAGCACCGGTCGCTGTGATGAGACGCTTCCTGTAGTGTCAAATGTAGTGATTTTCAGTGGCACAGCGTTTTAAGGTCATGCGTAAATAGCATGCTGGCATTGCAAACCAGTGGTCGCTGGTTCGATCTACCGGCGCGGCATTTGAAACAATTGCGAAACTTTATCAAATCTACCCCCCACCACCACCTCCGTCCATCCAGCAGTGATTGGGTAATGCTGTAGTTTTATCGACCTGCAGTTTCCGTGCAGTGGGTTAAAGTCTGGGTGCCCCCCCACCTCACCCAAGCCAAGATGTCTGGGCAGGTTGGAGGAAGAGGAGGCCAAGGTACCGACCCCTCAATTGGAGGGTCATCTCCGCTCGCAACGGCGCGAGAAATAAATTGCAGGGCTGCGCTTTTTTAGATTACAGGAAGAACGGCCCCCAAATACAAAACAGAGAAGTGACGTCACTTTCTGCAATTGTTGATTAACAGGAATTGCCGTTCAAAAGTACCTACCTCGAGATTCCCTTGTACGCGTATGGGGATTGTCACTTGCACCAGAGGCTTTGTAACAAAAACGCACGGCTGCTAATGAATCAATCCTCCTAATCGCGTCAGAATCTCGGAAGCTAAGCAGACTTTAGCCAGAACAATTCTCGGATGGGCGACGACCGCTGCGTTGAACGCACAACAACAATCAGTTATCCAGGTCACCCGCACGCAACCGGATTGCGTGGTGGCTGCGTTGTGAGCAGCAGCGATTAGGGGGCAGTGCAGCGAAATTACATCGATGTGCTGCTGCTGCTGCTGCTACCACCAGTGGCTCGGCAACCTGCGGGGTGGAGCTGCAGTGGGTGGCTCTTTTTAAATCCTTTATATTAAGTTCACTTGCTTGCTTGCGCGCTTACGACCGTGCAAATCTTTCGGTCGTTTTTTAACCCACTTCCCGTGATCCAATCGAACTGACATTTTGCATACAGACTCGTTGTGCGTGACAATTAATTTTCGTGAAAATTTTTTTCCAAAATGTTACACTTTTTAGGAATTTTTTTATATTTAATTACCAATTGCTTAATAGTGGCAGGCAATCATCTGGCCCATAGGTGGCAGCCATCTCAAGCCAGAGGACGAGAGGACTCTAGCCGCCACGCATATAAAGGATTTATAGTGAAAAACTTTGTTTTTACGGGTTAATTTTTAGGGCCCTGCAGAGGCGCCTCTTGAAATTCGAAAACGAAAATATAAGAGGCTCTTTTTGTTATTTTGGTTGCCGACCTCTGACCATGGATGTGCAGTTCACCATGGAAGTTCAGTTCATCGCAAGAGTCCAGTTTACCATGGGGGGTCCAGTTCACCATGGAAGTTGTTTACCACAATAGTCCAGTTTACCATGGGAGTCCAGTTCACATTCGAAGTTCAATTTACCATGGAAGTCCAGTTCACCATGGAAGTCCAGTTCACCATGGAAGCCCAGTTTACCATGGAAGTCCAGTTCACCATGGAAGCCCAGTTCACCATGGAAGTCCAGTTCACCATGGAAGCCCAGTTTACCATGGAAGTCCAGTTTACCATGAAAGCCCAGTTCACCATGGAAGTCCAGTTCACCATGGAAGCCCAGTTTACCATGGAAGTTCAGTTCACCATGGAAGTCCAGTTCACCATGGAAGTCCAGTTCACCATGGAAGCCCAGTTCACCATGGAAGTCCAGTTCACCATGGAAGTCCAGTTCACCATGGAAGTCCAGTTTACCATGGAAGTCCAGTTTACCATGGAAGCCCAGTTCACCATGGAAGTCCAGTTCACCATGGAAGCCCAGTTCACCATGGAAGTCCAGTTCACCATGGAAGTCCAGTTCACCATGGAAGCCCAGTTCACCATGGAAGTTCAGTTCACCATGGAAGTTCAGTTCACCATGGAAGTCCAGTTCACCATGGAAGCCCAGTTCACCATGGAAGTCCAGTTCACCATGGAAGTCCAGTTCACCATGGAAGCCCAGTTTACCATGGAAGCCCAGTTCACCATGGAAGTTCAGTTCACCATGGAAGTCCAGTTCACCATGGAAGTCCAGTTCACCATGGAAGCCCAGTTCACCATGGAAGTCCAGTTCACCATGGAAGTCCAGTTTACCATGGAAGTCCAGTTTACCATGGAAGCCCAGTTCACCATGGAAGTCCAGTTCACCATGGAAGCCCAGTTCACCATGGAAGTCCAGTTCACCATGGAAGTCCAGTTCACCATGGAAGCCCAGTTCACCATGGAAGTTCAGTTCACCATGGAAGCCCAGTTTACCATGGAAGTTCAGTTCACCATGGACGCCCAGTTTACCATGGAAGCCCAGTTTACCATGAGAGTCCAGTTTACCATGGGAGCTCAGTTTACCATGGAAGCCCAGTTTAACATTAAAGTCCAGTTTACCATGGGAGTTCAGTTTACCATGGGAGTCCAGTTCACAATGGAAGTCAATTTACCATGGGCAGGGGGTCGAACCTGCGACTCATTAAAAAACTGCTGCTTCGTGACGCGCCGTCTATCGAGGACCCGCACCTCGTGATCACCACATGGTGCACCACATGGTGCGCGGCTGCTCTTGAAGTTTTTGGCAAATTTTTTTTTACCGAAAAAATAAAAACACATTCCTGCGGAGGGAGCTGGTAGGAACGTTGGGTTGCTCGGTCAATGGCCTGCAGGGTCAACGGCGGCGTGGTGTATTCCGCAAATATGGCCGACTGTGAGGGCGGGCACAAGCCGGCGTGAGTAGGTTAAACGTTGAGTTTTATAAGGGCACCACGGGGTGACCAGCCCCTCCCCACCCAGCCCCACCCCCCACCCAGCCCCTCCCCACCCAGCCCCACCCCTCCCATTTTTGGATGCACGACGGACGGACACAATAATCCCCGGTGGGCTGGTGTAACCAGCAAAATATTTTTTCTTGTTGTTGTTGCCTGTACCATGCTTTGATCTCACATCTAGAGTTAGCACCCTGCCACTCCCCACCCCCTTCCTTGTTCACCAACCCGCATTGACTGGTATGGTCTAGTCTGGTCTCATAGCCTTGGTGACCTGTACGGCGTGGGAAGGCCATCTCAACCAGTAAGTGGATTGACTATAAGTAATATTTTTTAAAAACTTTTCTAAACAACGATTTTATGAAATGTACGAGTAATGGAAGAATTCCACGACTCCATGAAGTGGTCCCGAAGCTTGCCATAACGTAAGGGACCGTTGGTCAATTACAGCCAATGTCAGTTGAGCGTGGACAATTAGACCCAAGCCGAAACATCACATAAAAAAGAATTTATAAAATATATTTAGTTATTTTTATGATAGAATATAGTATCGTCATCAGAGTGACATAAGTATACCAAGTTTGCAGTCGATACCACATTGGGAAGTGGGTTAAAATTAAGTTACAAGATTTTCAGAGGATACGACAACAGACGGAGAGAGTTAAATAAAAGCGTGTTAAAAGAATGTTTAAAAATATATAAAACTTTTTTATGATAGAATATAATTAGTCATCGGTATGACATACGTATACCAAGTTTGCAATCGATACCACATTTGGAAGTGGGTTAAAATTGAGTTGCAAGATTTGAGGATACAACAACGACGACAGTTAATTAAAGAAAGCGTGTAAATAAAACGTGTAGATAAAACATTGTCTGTGCCCGCACTCGGGGTTGACGAAAACCAGCGTCGGTTAACCGCACGTGCATTCCAACCGTATGCGTAAAAAAGCATTTTATTATTATCAAGCAACACTCTGGGTAGAAATCCGCACCCGCCATAGGAATGTGGAATTTCCACCACCGGCCCAACGGCAATTACCTTAGCAATGGAAAGCAACAACAGTATCAACGCGCCTCTAGATGCAAAGTGGTTCGTTAAGAGAACTGAACAAAACAATTGAAATGTTGCACACATTGGCACGGGCAGATACGTGCTTGGAATTATTACCGAGGCAGAAAGACAAAAGGCGTGTACGTTAGACTTCTTTCGCGCCGTACGTGCTAATCTGATGAGCGTGGTGTCGGACAAATGACAAAAATAGGACAACCATCACCGTCACAAACCTCAATTTTTACCATCAATTAATGCTATCATAACCACCAGCAGAAATTAACACCACAACCACCACCACCACCCACAGAACACGCATCACCAAAAATCACCGCAAATCCAACCACCATCAACATCACAACTAACCAGCCATCATCACAACCGCAACTATTTCTATCCGTGCGATTGTACTTATTTTATTTCATGCTTAGTTCACCCAGGTGTGCCACAAACCAACACCACCACCATCATCATCACCACCGCCAGCGCCACAACAACCACAACTACCACAACAATCGCCGCAAACTTCGTGAGCAGCAGCACCACCACCAATGCAACAAGTGGTACGTGCATTTTAGGCCGAACCGACCTAGGTGCGTCACACACCAACACCACAACCAATCAAAACGACAAGTCAATCACCAGCACAATATAACCAACACGACCACAACAAACCAATAGCACCACTGCAACCACCACCACCATCACAACCACTGCAACCACCACCCATCATCACAACCCACCAATAAACAACCAAAAATCACCACCGGCACGACCACAACCACTCTGCAATAATTAAGTTAATGTATATTTTTGAAGGCCGAGTCGACCTAGACGTGTCACAGACCACAACAACCACCGATGCATCAAGTGCAACGTATTACATTCATCACTGCACAAACAACAAAGATCCCCCCGTATAGCTTTAACATACTGCTTGGGGGCAATTCTAGATTTGAAACTTTCGTGACTGCAAAGATTCATACTCTTAGCTCTTTCGGTAAAGTCACGTAGGTAAAAAAAATGAATTTATTATTTTTTTAATTTTAATTTCATTTTTTTTACCTACGTGACTTCACCGAAAGAACTAAGAGTATGCTTGGGGCAAGTGCTGCTAAACAGAAGCAGCAGCAGCACTTTGAAAGGCTGGCACGGCACACAAAGGGGGGCTTTTGTGGCGTGGTCGTCACCACGCCCAGCCGCCTTTGTCTCCCCAGTGGCTAAGTTCCTACACACCCGGGTGGCGGTACGGACTTTAGAGTCAGAGTCTGTGAGCTAAAGGGGTTAAACGCGGGCGGTGGGCGTGAGTGTGTGGCCGTGACGTGGCCAGTGGCTATTATAAGGCTGGTTCACGCCGGTGCCGGCTTCAGTCGGCGTGGGTTGGAGAGAGAGACACACACACAGAGAGACACAGAGAGAGACGGAGACACACACACAGAGAGACACACACAGACAGAGAGACACACACAGAGAGACACACACACAGAGACAGAGAGAGACAAAGACACACACACAGAGACACACACAGACAGAGAGACACACACAGAGAGACGCACACACAGAGACAGAGAGAGACGGAGACACACACAGAGATACGGAGACACGCACACAGACAGAGAGAGACACACACAGAGACGCACACACACACACACAGACAGACACACACACACAGAGACACACACAGACACAGAGAGACACACACAGAGAGACACACACACACAGACACGCTCTAACGCACACTCACCGATACACGCGATCCACCCCACACACACACGCTCAGCGTCACCACTCACCAACACTCGGTGCACCGCACTTCCTATCAGCACCGCCGGCGACGTACGGTGCGAAAGAAGTTCGCCGTACATTCCATGCGACACTCGATCCACGGCACTCCCCAAGTAATACTGCAAGTACTTAACGCGCACACAGACCGACACACGCGCACACAACCTCATCCACACCCACATAGGCCGAAAGCACACACACACGCAGACTCGTAAATGCGCCCTCGTTCCACTCACAAACCCTCACTTAGCTCGGACACGCTCCCATAATAGCCCGCTTGACTGGGCTACGTACGGTGCGAAAGAAGTTCAACGCACACACACAGACACACAGGCGCGCTTGCTCCCCTACACCATCACGGATCTCAGCGAGTCGTCATGCCCTCTGTCGGAGCACTTCGTGCCGTCTACAGGACGGCAGCTGTCAGGAGCTGTCACATCTTGAGCGTGGCCACTGGCGGCGGTGGGCACTCTTCCGACCACGTGTCCAGCACCCATCACCATCAACATCATCACCACCAACATCAGCAGAGGAATTACCATTGCCATCAACATCAGCAGCAACACAATGGCAACAACCACCACTACTGTGGACACATTCACCAGCAGACACGAATGCAGAGCCGTGGCTCCGGTCTCGTCGGCACTGGTGGCCCCATGGGGCAATGCCCCCACGTCAGCCCGTTCACGTCCTACTCGACCCCAATGGCAGAAGGTGGAGGAGGTGGTGGTGGAGGTGGTGGTGGAGGTGGTGACGACATGACAGCCCCGCAGCAGAAGCCAGAGTTCCTGAGGCAGCAATACGCGCGGCTCAAGCACGTGGTCAGCGGTGAGTGGGGGGAGGGGCATCATTCAGAATCAATTGACTGCGTTGTGGCCATGTGGTTTATTGGTTGAATTGTTCAGTGTTAATTGTGCCGGTTTGTTTTGTGGCATGGCTGGCTGGCTGGCTGATTGGTCGTATGGCTGATTGGTCGATTGGCTGGTTGATCGATTGGCTACACAGTTTGTTATTAGCATGGCTGGCTGGCTGATTGGTTGAATGGCTGATTGGTCGTATGGCTGATTGGTCGTATGGCTGATTGGTCGATTGGCTGGTTGATCGATTGGCTACACAGTTTGTTATTAGCATGGCTGGCTGGCTGATTTGGTTGAATGGCTGATTGGTCGTATGGCTGATTGGTCGATTGGCTGGTTGATCGATTGGCTACACAGTTTGTTATTAGCATGGCTGGCTGGCTGATTGGTTGAATGGCTGATTGGTTGAATGGCTGATTGGTCGAATGGCTGATTGGTCGATTGGCTGGTTGATCGATTGGCTACACAGTTTGTTATTAGCATGGCTGGCTGGCTGATTTGGTTGAATGGCTGATTGGTCGTATGGCTGATTGGTCGATTGGCTGGTTGATCGATTGGCTACACAGTTTGTTATTAGCATGGCTGGCTGGCTGATTGGTTGAATGGCTGATTGGTTGAATGGCTGATTGGTCGAATGGCTGATTGGTCGATTGGCTGGTTGATCGATTGGCTACACAGTTTGTTATTAGCATGGCTGGCTGGCTGATTGGTTGAATGGCTGATTGGTTGAATGGCTGATTGGTCGAATGGCTGATTGGTCGATTGGCTGGTTGATCGATTGGCTACACAGTTTGTTATTAGCCTGGCTGGCTGACTGGTTGCATTGTTGGTTAGTAAGGCGGTTGGGTAGTTGATTAGTTAATTGGCTTGTTGGTTGCATGTGACTTGCTGGGTGATTGTGTAATCCGTTGATGGGTTGTCTAGCTGCTTGGGCGAGTGGCCAGTTGGATCGGTTAATGGTTGGTTGGGTGGGATGATGGTGGTGGTTTGATTAACTCTGATTGTTGCAGAGTTGGCGGATGGAGATGTTGAGGTTTTTGGGCTGATTGGCCATTCTGTTGGCTTTCTGGCCCGGCTGGTTGTGCCGGTGATCCGGTTTGATGGCGGACGTAGGTTCAATCTAGATTTGAAAGTTTACGCAAAAAAAATGTATTGCTGTGCTTTACCCACCTGAAGATGATTGCTTGTGTTGCAATCCAAACGTCGTGATTTATTTAGTTATATTTTATACCTACGTGACTTTACCGAAAGAACCAAAGAGCATGGACGTAGGTTCGTCTGCGTTGACAAACCGTGCATTGTTCTGCCTCGGTAACTCCTCTCACCCGAAGCTTCACGCACGAGAGAGGCGTTTCATGGTCACCGTGTATCTTCAAATGTACGTGTCACACGGACACCTCGGTCAAATTCACAAAGGGCATCCGAACCATATGGGGGTGGGGGGGGGAGGTGTCATTGGGAACGTTGACCTCCCTACGGTTTCAATAACGCGGATTATTTATGGAACGAGTCCGACGATGATCTATCGTACCCACAGAAAACTCCGTGGCATCATTCCAACGTGGATGGGGGCCGTGCCGGATTAAGCTAATGCAGGGCCTGTAGCATATGTTATAAATAAAACAAACATTAAAACACATAAATGTTTAACTTGCCTCGTAAAGTAATTGTATTTTTTCATTTGCTATACAGACAGATAATACGACAAATGGCTAACCTTAAACACAAGGTTTATTCGTAAAAGTTGAAGGCGGTATAGTACTATAGTAATAGAGCAAGTGCAGAATCACTGAACCGGAATTGATAGCTTGAAAGCATTTAGCGCGGGGCCGTTGAAAGTGCAGTAGCTACTACATATGTACTACATATGTAGTAGCTACTACACATGTAGCTACTTGTGCTACTAGGGTCATCCGGCAGTGGGTTGAGGTGATGGGGTAAAACCCCGTCACTTTGCCAGAGGACGTTCATCAACGCCGCGTTTCTCTCCCGCGATCAAGAAAGGTTTTGGACGCGTTGCTCCACCATCCGAATCGCGACCCTGAATTGTTCGACGTGCTTTGCCCAACTACAAGGCCGCCTCGTGATCGGAGTTGCCGCTGAAAAGCAAAACGACGAAATCGAACAAAACGTCACGGATCCTCCTCACGTGAGACAAATCGTCCGTTCCAATGGGCGGGCTCCGGTTGGTTTCACCGCCCTTGGCGCTCATCACGGAGCCGCTGACATTTGACGGGCAACTTCCACGAAGGTGACGTCCCAGGAGAGGTCGTGGTCCCGCGAGCCCGGATCCTCCGTTGGTGCTTCTCTGGTGCTGCGTCGTCTCACCATCCGGGCTCCCAACGCGTGCTGGCAACCGCGTTGAGAAGTGGCCGTGGTAGAAACAAGTATAACCCGTAAAAACAAAGTTTTTCACTCTAAATCCTTTATATGCGTGGCGGCTAGAGTCCTCTCGTCCTCTGGCTTGAAATTTTGGAAAAATTTCTTCGGGAATATTAATTGTCTCGCACAACGAGTCTGTGTACAAAATGTCAGCTCGATTGGATCACGGGAAGTGGGTTTAAAAACGACCGAAAGGTTTGCACGGTCGTAAGCAAGCAAGCAAGCACGCAAGCAAGCAAGCGAACTTAATATAAAGGATTTAAAAAGGGGAAAACCCCTATTAGTATATTTTGGTACTGGCAAAGGAGGTCCCATGATGTAGCTGCTCACCCCGAGCTCTCATTACTCTGGTAGTGCGTTGTCTTTGAACTGTGCGCCTTTTGGCGTCATCTGGTCGAACACCATATGAGACTAGGCTCCAAAGAAAGCTGTCTCTGGTGTGGACCAATCAGTTTCAAAGACAATGCACAAATGATCAGAGTATTGTTTTTTGTTTGCATTTGACTGCAAGTATTGTGGTTAATGTAAGCATGATTCCTTGCAAAAGGTGTCAGTTTTGTTGCCAGAAAAAGGGGGAAAAACCCTCTTTGTATATTTTGGTACTGGCAAAGGAGGTCCCATGATGAAGTGGCCGTGTCTTGCTGATGAGCGCCTCGCGACGTGGGTCGGGAATGTTGTAAGGTTCGGGGTTTCGATTTAAAGCTTTTGTGACTGCAGGGATTCATCTTCTTGGTTCTTTCGGTAAAGTCACGTAGAATGGAAATAATAAGATAATCAAAATAAAACATAATAAAATAATTCTCACGACGTTTCGGCCACAACGCAAGCAGCCGTCCTCAGGTGGAGAGCAGGTCTGTCGTGTAGACAGTCATTGTTTTATTTTTATTATTTTATTATTTCCATTCTACGTGATTTTACCAAAAGAACCAAGAAGAGGTTCGGGGTTGACTGCGTGTTTTGTACTTGCGTCAGGCCAGCAAATACAGGGTGCTTAAAAAAAATGTGAACGCATACATGCGACTATCGTTTTTAATGGAGAAATAACATATAATATAGTCTTCTTAATAAAAATAAAACATAATAAAATATTTTATTATGTTTTATTTTTATTATTTTATTGTTTCCATTCTTTATTTTTATTATTTTATTATTTCCCATTTTACGTGAATTTACCGAAAGAACCAAGAAGATGAATCCCTGCAGTCGGTAAAATAAAGTAAATAATATAAATAATAGAAATAAAATAATTAATCACGACGTTTCGGAGGCAACACATGTCTCCGTCATGTTGTCTCCGAAACGTGATTTATTATTTTATTTCTATTATTTCTATTATTTATTTTATATTTTATTTTTTACCTACGTGACTTTACCGAAAAAACCTAAGAGTATGAATCCTTGCAGTCACGAAAGCTTAAAATCTAGAACATATAATATACATTTTAATGTGATAACAAATGCATGTTAATAGCTTTCAAAAGTCAAGAGTCTCCAATTATATAAGCATAGGTTTTACCCTTTATGGCAATAAAACAGTTGTGTTAAGATATTAAAACGCCAAACTGAAACCTTTTGCAAGGATCCATGTCTGCATTAACCACATATATTCATGGTGAACATGCAAAAACAAGTGCTCTGGTAGTAGATGATGATGCATTGTCTTTGAAACTGATTTATCCACACCAGAGACAGCTTTCTTTAGAGCCTAGTCTCATTCGTTCGCCATCATTGTCAACGCTGCGCCTGGAATCTTCTCCAGGTGGTTTCCAGAGCCCGGAGGCAACACATTTCTCGTGGTGTTGTTGCAAATTCTCAGAAGTGTTAACACATTCCTGCGGAGGGAGCCGGTAGGAACGTTGGGTTGCTCGGTCAATGGCCAGGGTCAACGGCGGCGTGGTGTATTCCACAAATATGCCCGACTGTGAGGGTGGGCACAAGCCGGCGTGAGTAGGTTAAACGTTGAGTTTTATAAGGGCACCACGGGGTGACCAGCCCCTCCCCACCCAGCCCCACCCTCCCCACCCAGCCCCTCCCCACCCTCCCCACCCAGCCCCTCCACACCCTCCCTTCCCCACCCAGCCCCTCCCCACCCTCCCCTCCGCACCCAGCCCCTCCCTTCCCACCCAGCCCCTCCCTGCACGACGGATACAATAATCCCCTGTGGGCTGGTGTAACCAGGAGGTTTCTACCAGTATAAACATTTTAAAGCACCCCCTATATTCGGGAGACTCGATGCCATTGTCGAGGTCGACTTGGCACGAGACGGCTTCGGTTGAGAGTTGGGTGTCGTTTTGATAATCCTCCTCCACTGAAGGAACGTAGACCACAGCGGTTTATTATGTCGTCCATTTGTTTGGGTTGCGTGTCTCTATGGGTCTCTATAGGTCTCTACGTATCTCTGTGAGCTGCTGTGTATCTCCATGTGTCTCTGTGTTTCTCTGTGTCTCTATGGGTTTACTACTGGGGGCATGGTTTGGGTTGTATGGCTACAATCGCACTCCTGTGGCTTGTCCTGAATGTATCTCTATGGGTGTCTGTATCTCTGTGGGCCAGGATGTGTCTCCATGTGTCTCTGTGTTTCTCTGTGTC